AACATATCATATTTTTGTTCAGTTCAGTCCATTTATATAACAAATTCATAAAAGTATGGACTCTATCACATACATGTACATACATGTACATACATGTACATACATGTATTAAAAAATAACAAAAAATAACAAAAAATAACAAAAAATAACAAAAAAATAACGAATACCAAATAAAACTTTCCATCAACGACTCAGTATGAATTGTTTGAGATTAGCGAGAAGACATATTTCTTATGAAAAGCTAATCACCCTAAACATAAAAAAACCCACAATTTACTTTAAAGGTACTATATGTCCCAATTGCAGGCCCCAAAAATGAAAAAGTTAAATTCCTACGGCATTTGAAAGATACTACTATGTTAGAACTTCCCCAAAATAAGGGGGCTTGAAAATGTCTTTAAGTGGGAAAGTAACGACTATTAGTTGTCGAATCGACTTAAGAGCTATAGAGCCAGTAAGTAATAGTCTGATTTTCAGAACAGTGTACCGAATGGTCGTACGTTTTATGCTGTGCAAAGATTCAATCAGTTTAATTTTGGCCATTACAAGAAGTGGGTTATTGATGTAGACAAATGCTCATGTACCCTTTACAGCTCATTTTATGTATGTTATTACCAAAGAAGGAAAAAGGCCAGTCAGTCACTCAATAGTGCCTGACAGTGGAATCTAGCAAGTAAACGGGTTTCCTTGCATAATTTGAATATTAGGACACTGCTAACGTTTAAATTTCACATATAGGACATACATGACATATTCATAATTCCTGCAGAGTTCTACATAATTTGATGTTAGCTGCAAATGGGACTTTAAACGCTTATGTTCATATTGAGGAAACCCAAAATAAATTCAATTGTATTGAACTGAAAGAAAGCAAGAGAGAGTCGAGAGAGACAGAGATAGATAGAGAGAAAGAGAGAGAGAGAGGGGGGAGAGAGACAGAGAGAAAGAGAAAAAAAAGAGAAAGAGAGAGAGAGAGAGAGAGAAGAGAGACAGAGACAGTGAGAGAAAAAAGAAAGAGAGAGAGAGAAAGACAGACAGAGACAAAAAGAGAAAAAAGAAAGAGAGAAAGAGAGAGAGAGAGAGAGAGAGGGATATAGAGATAGAGAGACAGAAAGATATATATATATATAGAGAGGGAGGGGAGAGAAAAGGAGAGAGAGAGAAAGAGAAAAAGGGGTGGGGAGAGAGAGATAGAGAGCATAATATGTGGATTCGGAGCTATATACTATTCATTTTATTATTCTCTTTACACTCTTTTGTCGTTCATTTTACTTCGTGCAAGTCCGTGATATTCCCTCTTTCTCACACCATTAACGCTCTTATTGGTTTATAGTTGAATATCAACATTAGTCAATAACAATGAGATGCACCTGGAGTAAGAGCCATCGATAAGTACTTGCATTCTTCCACGTCATTGAAAGCTTTAACCCCTTCCAATGTTTCAATCAATATTTATCTCAAAGGAATGTATTATTAAGTAAGCATATAATAATATCATACGTCAGATAAACTGCAGATTTATTTTTGTTAATGTGAGGACTTGGAGAGATGTACATGTATGTATTTGTGTTTGTAAGGGGGGGGGGGCACGATTGAAAATTAATTGCATTTCGCAATCATGTATAAATGATATTCATCAACAGTAATGTGCCAGATTTCAGCATCATTTCATGTACGGATAAAAGTAAGATACACGGAGTTTGCATTTAAATTGACAAAAGCAACGGTCGTCTGAATATTTAAGGAAATAACTTTTATAAAGAAGTAGCATTATGTAAAGAAATAAGAATCCGTAATGTTTTTGCTCATTGATTTTTATCCCTCGTGTTTTACCCTGGACCTACTTGCCATGGAATAACTGTCATAGGGCTCTCAGGAAAAACAAACATGTTTGTACAGAAAGATATTTTCGGAGAGATTTTTATTAAAAAAATGATAAAAGGCCAATACGTTTGAGATCACTAGGTTTGTATGGATAATGGCAATTTACTTATTGTAATGTGATAATAAAACTGTATGAATAAATATATTTCGAATGTCAATTTGACAATCGAATCCAATAAACGAGCGGCTCCTAGTCGTCTGGAAAGCGATACCCAATAATATTAGACAGTGCACAGGTGTGTTTACTGTGTTAAGTATGTACGTAAAGAGTTCTGGCATAAGGATTGAAGAGGTGAATGGATTAGGATAAAGTTGAAGAAATTATTGTTGCAAAGACAAAATGAATATACATATTCTAACATAGTGAATATTTTTTTCAATAGTTTTTTTAATTGATATTAAACAATACAAATCAATCTTAGAAATAAAATACAGTTGTTTTGGTCCAAATATTTGTCACACCCTCTCAAACACATACACAGACACACGCACACACGCACGCGCACACACACGCACACACACACACACACACACATCCACTTTTTCTCTCTCTTTCTCTCCCATTTAAGGATACTGTAGCTCGTATCCGGACACCTACCCCCTGGACTCCAACCCCGGAAAACCATCCCCCAGTCAACTACCCCCTAGGACAACTACCCCTAGGGCAACCACCCTCTAGGACGACTACCCCCAGGAAAACTACCCCCGGGCAACTTCCACAGGCAACTACCCCCTGGGACAAACACCCCCTAGGACAACTACCGCCGGACAACTACCCCCCGGACTGCCCCGTTGGATAGTTGTCCGTGGGTAGTTGTCCTAGAGAATGGTTGTCGTAGGGGGTAGTTGGGGTAGTTGTAAGGGGGTAGTTGTCCGGAGGTAGTTGTCCTAGGGGGTAGTTGACTGGAGGTGGTTATCCGAGGTGGATGTCCAGGGGGTAGGTGTCCTAGAACCACTGTAGCTACATCAGCTATCAAAATTAGTAATACGCAATGCGCAATGCAATGCATTTATGCCTCATATGAGTATTTATGCAGTGACATTTGTATAAAGGAACAAAAAAAGTTTTCGTTTGCCGATTACTATAAATCATTTGAACAAATACATAATAACTTACATACAAGTGCCCAAAGCTTCACGAAGTATATCTGTTCACGTCTCTGGTATACTTCAGGTCTTGTCTAAGCCCAACACTCAACAATGAAATATGACCTCGCTATGATCATTGAAAGGAACCGTCTGCCTTCTGTTACCGACCCATAGAAACTGAAATCAATGGTAGATGATATTTGGAGCAAACACCGCCGAACTTCAACAAAAGATTCCCAAATACATTGTATTGCGCATTTCATGTGTCACCTTTATGTACATAAAGTAGAATTCTATGTGTGTGGTGTACATGCAGAATAGAACCCAACATACGAGCGTTCTTTTTTATTGGCGGAGAAGGTTGAAGAATTGAGAATCTAAAGTGAAAGAGCTATGGGGAGAAAGGGGTGTAGAGAGAGAGAGAAAGAGAGAGAGCGAGAAAGGAAAGAGAGAGAGAGAGAAGTAGATATATATTTGTCTGAATCTCGGTCTGTCTGTCTGTCTGGCTCTCTCCCTCTCTCTCTCTCTCTCTATCTCTGTCTCAAAAACTACTTCCTCAAACCAGGCCCTCCTGCTGATATGATCAGCTAAAGGTTTACAGAGTGCACAAATGTCGAAAGTTTTCATGGCCCAATTCTTCTAATATTTTTCAATTATTTTTCAAAAATAATAGCAGTTGAACCCTCGACAGTACTCAAGGAATTATGTGAGAGCCCAGTTTCTTGCTTCCTATGTGTGCTCCTCCCAACATCATAACAAATTAATCGATCTATGTAGATTTTTAGCAAAGACTAAGTGAAGCTAGATATCTTGTATTCCATTAAAGCATCATTTTCCGGTTTAACCCGTTTTCTTATTTCTAAATGTTTTTACATTAATTGTATTTAGAGTTAAATATTCAGTTTAAGACAAGGGGGGCAAACAAAAAAGAATGGGGCACACACACACACACAAACGTGCATTTTGCTAAGCTGCTCCTACCATGTCCTCATCCGTGCCTTTTCGGAAGTGATAGGATGCCCTGCAAAATCAGAAGGCTACCACAACTTCGATTCACCTTATTTTTTCTTTTTTCTGCTGAAATATTTGTGTTATAACTTGCCAATTCTTAGGACCTTTTTGGGTATTTTAACATCAACTTTGCATGTTAGGTATCCTGGGAGAAGTTTCGATTGTTGTAAAGATTATTTGTTTGTGGCTTGCAACCGGTAGATAAAGATTGCGTGCTCGATCTTGTAATAGAAAATTAACATGGAGCAAAAGTGTTTATGCAAATTAATTTTACAAAACTTAAATTTTTATTTTAATATATCTTTTCATCAACAGTTAATATAATAATTTATCAGTTGTCTTCTAAAAATTAACTGAAAACTTCCAACACCTTCGTTTCACCTTACTTTTTCTCCTTTCCGCTAAAAAATATTGATGTTATAACCTGCCAATTTTCGGGACTATCAATCTGTCAAGCCTCAATAGGCTTTTAATGATGGTCCTTTTTATTCTTCTTTTTTATATGAATTGATTTCAAGTACCTTGCATTTTATCTATGACATGCTTTGTATATATTTCAATGTTTAAACAAAAAAGCTGATTCTAAATCTTTAAAGGTGATAGATACACATTTAAAAGACTCAACACCATACTGTAATACAAAAATCTCAATATAATTCAAACCAAGTAACGTAGGCTTAAAAAGTAGCTGAAGTTACTCATTTACTCGTTAATATTTTTCATGCGCTTAAACTTGAAATTGATTCTTTTTTCTTTATCATCATTAAGATAGAATTCCATTTCACATCATGATTTTGACTACTGACCCATAATACCTGGAATCATAGTTTGCCTATTCTATACAAATCGCGGGTTCACGTGGCATAAGAGAGTGAGTGAGAGAGAGAGAGAGAGAGAGTATCGTTTCCTTTCTTCATATCTACAACGAAAGGCCTAAGCAAATTGATGATCTAATCTATATATTTTGGGATTTCATTTTCGAATTGACTTTGGTGATTCATTTCACAGCTCTGCGAATCCACGTTAGTCCATGGTGCAAAGAGGTTCTGGATAAGCTTGGTGGTTATGAACTTGAAGATCGAGGCCTTGTTCCAATGAAGGTAGCTACAATGACAACATTATTCCTTCACAATATTCCAGCTGTTGAAAACAAACCCTATGATAAATATGTACTTCAATCGCAAACATTCAATTTAGTGAAATCTTGATATCTAGACAATTGGAGTGTACAATGTAGTTGTATACAACAAGAAGTATGATAGAAACAGTTTCAGTTACAAATTGTTATTACATCCATAAACTTTCCAATAATAATGTAATATAGTTTCAGATAGTCGCAGTTAGTTGATGTCAAAGACATATCATCATTCAATCGCCAGCAAGTCTGGAAGATTAAATTTATAAAATCATCAATTTGTTATATTCTCTGTGTGATTTGTTTCCAGGGTAAAGGAGAAATCCATACCTTCTGGTTGCTAGGACAAGTTCCAAGCTACAAGATCACCAAGGTTAAACCACCACCACAGAAGCTCACTCAAGAGGCCATAGAGATCGCTGCAAATCGTGTCATACCTGATGACGTCTAAATAAACAACTCGCTGGTACAACTACAATCAACAACAAATGAAGAATGTTACCAGATACTTTTGGTAAAATACAAGGAATGTTATTCCCGACCCCTTCACGTTAAATATAACGTCGGGTAAATTCATTGGTCTTAAAGCTTACATGATTCAGTAAGCATTGTAAGAAACATATGAAATGTCTGAAAATATTTCATACGTTTATAGAACCAATAAATGTTACTTTGGTCTGTTGATAAAATGAGTTAGAGCAAACGTTTAGCAGTTAATACTCCCCTATGAGCAATGGTTTGATGAAATTGAGTCTACAATAAAACTCCTGTTTCGAGTTAGAGTTGTCTTATTGAAATAAGAATGAATTCCCTCCATTGCTAGCAAAGGAAAATTGAACGTAGAACGTAGTATAATCGCATTGACATTATTTTGCTTCATCATGGCGTATAAATTACGTGTGCCTTAATTTCATCTCAACGAAAAGCCACTTGGTAATGTTTATTTACGTGCAGCGTCAAAATTGAACATTGTATGGTTATTTTACATTAAGAAAACCCCCAGGTTTGCATTGAATCTATGTAACTTGAATTGTTCATGACGAGCAAAAAAAGAATTGAATAAATTATTCGTCATTTAACAGCTCCTTGTTTACATTGTTGCCAGTTTGTTTTATCAAAGTGTATCGAGTGATATTTCCTTTCTCTCTAATAGAAAAACAGCTTGGATCATTTTCAATTAGATATTCAATTAATAACTATAACCATCATGGAATTATTAACGGCAGAATAGAATGGGCTAGGGCAAGAAGAATTAATAGAAAAAAGGTATAAAGGAAGATAGCATAGGGAAATGTTAACGACTTGCCAAAGAATTTCATATGATGGTGATTTGTAATGAAGATGGCGTTTTATATTCCAAAATATTAATCACTTTCACATATATCACTTTATCTAGTTTAGGTTAATAAATATTAAACGCAAACAACGTTATAATTAAAAAGTAATGGTTGATAAAAAAATAATTTTGTCTTTGATCACTTGATACAAGCATACTAAAATACCTGAATAATGCATAATTCGGCAGATAAAAAGATGAAAACACAGTCAAAATAAAGATACCGTGCGAGCAAATATATTGTTTTTCTTGAAATCACTTGATATATAAGGTGACTACTTCATTTCAACAATGCATCGACAGAGGATAACAATTTGTAAGAATGAACATAAAAAACACAATTTAAAGCAAAGTAATGCACTATCCTTTTGGTTTAACAAACTTCGATAAAATATGAATAGTCAAAACAGTTAAATGTAAGTCTACAGGTGAATAACGTAATAGAAAGGACGTACTATTTCAAAACTTAAAAAAAGAGAAGACTTTGACGTCAGAAGAATGAAAAGACTTTTAAAGGCTTTATTCCGATTATAAATTGGTTATAACATTATTGCGGTTTCGTATAACAATTCTTAATATATGATAAACCCATTATAAACCTCATTCCTCAGTAAAAAAATTACTATAAGTTTACAATTAATATATTTCAGCAATGATATTGAGAAATCCCTTTATCCCGTACAAAGAATGTGTTGATAATGTTTACCGTGCATTATATACATATTGGTCAACATAAAACAAAATCACACAATATAAAAATCATTTTTTAATTCAAAGTAATCCCAAAAATGTACAGTTTTGATAAATCGAATATATCTCAACGTAATATATATTTCTAATGCATTATTCGTTAAGGGACGCCAAAAAAGCTTATATCGATTCACGTGCAAGTAAATACAGTATTTCGTGTAGGTATGTGTGTATGAAGTATTTGTATGTGCGTGTGTGTGTGTGTGTGTGTGTGTGTGTGTTTTAGTGGGTATGGTGACTAAATCGTATTTAATTTTTGTTAAGTGGTGGCGTTTTTATGAGCAATCTGCTTCTTTGTGGTCCTGACCATATAATTGCTTTTTATTTTGTATGTTTAATGTATTCTTTTTTCTATTGTATGTTTTTCTTTTTACATGTAGGCCTATATGTTTTGATAAATTAAATTCAATGCATGTTCTCAAACTCACCGCTTTCTACTCAGCTTCAGCTGATCCTCAACTTAAACATAACTACGTATCTGAAGTTTGAATTTATTACCGAATCACCAACATATAACTTCATTTTTAGTCAATATACATTCATATTATTTGGTAACTATAGCTAACAATATCAACATGCTAATCGAGGTGAGCTCCTGAGTAAATATTTTGTTGTTCAATAGTAAATCTTTCATTATTTTCTTCAAATTTAAATAAAGATTCCGAATAGGAAAGTGGTTGACAGGGGCCACTAATTTTCTGAATAGGAATTGTTTCAAGGGGTCACTAAGTGTCGGTATAAGAAGTTGTTTTGGAAGTGGTCACTAAGTTTCTAAATAGGAAGGGTCACCTAGTGTCGGTCAGTAAAAAAAGGTTTTTGGAAGGAGTCCGTAAGTTTCTGAATAGGAAGATGGTTGGCGGGGTTACTAAATGTCGGTTAAGAAGTTTTCTGGAATGGGCCACTAAGTTTCTGAATAGGAAAATGGTTGGCATGCAGGGGTCACTAAGTGTCGGTCGGTATATTAGAAGGTTTTCTAGAAAGGGTCACTAAGTTTCTGAATATGAAGATGGTTAGCAGGGGTCACTAAGTGTCGGTATAAGAAGATTTTCTGGAAGGGGTCACTAAGCTTCGGAATAGGAAGGTGGTTTGAGGGGTCACTAAGTGTCGGTCGGTGTTTGAAGGTTTTCTAGAAAGGGTCACTAAGTTTCTGAATATGAATATGGTTAGCAGGGGCCACTAAGTGTCGGTATAAGAAGATTTTCTGGAAGGGGTCACTAAGCTTCGGAATAGGAAGGTGGTTTGAGGGGTCACTAAGTGTCGGTCGGTGTTAGAAGGTTTTCTAGAAAGGGTCACTAAGTTTCTGAATATGAATATGGTTAGCAGGGGTCACTAAGTGTCGGTAAAAGAAGATTTTCTGGAAGGGGTCACTAAGCTTCGGAATAGGAAGGTGGTTTAAGGGGTCACTAAGTGTCGGTCGGTATAAGAAGGTTTTTAATAAAGGTTATTAAGTTTCGGAATAGGAAAGTCGTCGGAGGGGTCACTTTGTGTCCGTATAAGTAGGTATTTTAAAGGGGTCACTAAGCTTCGGAATATGAAGGCGGGTGGAGGGGCACGTCATCCAATGTACCCAAATAAGTATCATTGGATGCGACCGGTGAACCCACGCTCAGATCCAAATCCTCTTCGTTGAGAACGTCCTTTTTGGGCAAGGTTTCTGCTTCATTGTAGTTGGTGTCCGTAGAGAAATCCCCGAAGCTTGGATTACTGATTCCACCATCTTCAAAACGAACCTATCAAGAATAAAGAATTTCACCAGTTAATAATATTATAAGACAATTAATACTTGTAGATGGATACCACCCAGTGCTCTGTGCATGTTGGGCAGAGTCAACTATAAACATTAGCGTTGGAAATCATGAAAACAGTCTGCTGTGACTACTGTAATGAAAAGAAAAAAATGATAGATGTTAATTCTACTAGTAGAAAGATGTCTCACTTTTAGTGTGTAAAGTGTAATTTTCGTTGTGCTTATAATTTATATTCAACTATTCTTTTACTAAACCTATAAAACCTTGTAAATGAAACTATGAGCTCACACTTACATGTACATGTTCTCCCATGAATGGTTTTGAAAACCTTTGGAAATACAGAATGCTTCTAAAATAACATTAGTTTTAATCATGGTTTGTAGGCGCACAATGGCTGATTAATACATAAGGTTGATTCGGCCTAAATGTATAACGGTAATGGGTAAATATAAATACCTCTCCTCCTGTCATTCGAACGGAGCTGTTGTTCGTATTCAGCTTAGCAGAACCAGTCCGTTGACGACATCTATTATTAATAAAGAATAACGATTGATATCAATATACTCAATTCTAACGGGTACTCCGAAATACGATACGATGTCATTATCCTTCGACGATTATTGTTCCAGCCGATTTAATTTGTTTTTCTAGAAGTTTAAGGCATCTTTGGGCATTTAATTTACATAATTCCCAGGGATATTGGGCGTACTTGGGGAAGGAATAATGCATCCTCCAGTCATCAAAACTTAATAAAAAGCCTATAGTCCTTTTAAAGTTAAGAAGTAATGTACGCGATTATGACATGTTTTAAAAACCTTTTGGTTTTACAAAAGAACTTTTCCAATAAAAGAATGATGATTATAGTTACGCGCTGACAATCAATACTTACATTATGAATAAAGCACATGTGATGATGAAGACAATGAGAAGAACTCCAAGCAATGCAGAAATCATTACCAGAGCTGAAGAAAAGAAATCGAGAAAAATCATAATTTGTTGCCCTATCCTTGAAATGTATTGTCGGAAAACCCCGGGTATACTATCACCATAGCTATTAAATATTTTGGACGTTAGTAAGTTTGACTATCTTTCAGTATTTTCTCTTTTGAAATCGACTGTGAAATCTCTTCTCCCGAAATGATTTTTGGCCAGCACAATTCGATTTTTTTATAAATAAATTTCAATCTTGACGGATGTAATCATGTGCAATATCAAATTAGATCTAAGATGGATATGCAATCAATTCGAAAGCAAGGGAAACTGGGGGAAAGAGTTGTTCAAACCAAATTGTGTTTAAGATCGCGCTGGAGAAATTGCTCAACTGAAATATATCACGGCAGGATATCTCGTGCCAGCATGGAAACGTTTTCTCGATTATTTATGAATAAACATCGTGACTAGAACAGACAAGGCCAGGTATACCTGGGCCCTGTTACAATAACTGTTATAAGCTACTGAAATCGTGGCATCTGATTGGTTGTGAGCAGTTGTGTTAAATATCCGTGGCAGTTGTTATTAATAACAAGTTTTATGAAACGGGGCCCTAGGCAGGCTAGGCTTAATGTTTAGAAGTTAGCAGGTGGGAGAATTAAGACCCAGTAAATAATCTTCTTACTCTGCTTTGATGAGTCTGTTGTACAGACTAGCTCGTGTTTGTTCCAAGTGTTAGTACCAAGGCAGATCCACAACGTAGAAGCTGACGAATCACGGCATGAGACAGTCAACACGTCACCGTAGAAGTATAGATTTGTCGGATTGGTGAATTCTGTTCCTTCTGGTGGATCACTTGGGGGTGAACACATTAGTTCTGTTTGTATACAGAACAAAGAAATTAATTGATGCAGAGGTACTCCCAATATTTTCTTTGAAATGATATACTGGAAAGTGTACTCCGGCAAATCAACGGTTTGTACCATTCCTATTTTTGCATTTTAACCCCAAACAGACCAATAGTTTACAATAATTTACAATGTATTCGATGTGCCTTGATTAATCATTACAGAATTGATCTAGAATAGACAGTACATGCTTCAGAGATCCAAATAACGTAAGTAAATGAATAATGAAGCACTGACTTTGTCAAGTGATAACACATTGACCTAGGCCAAGTAGGTAGCACGCAATTAAGAAAAAAATGAAATAATGAAATTTGGGAAGGTCTTAATTTGGAAGTGAAAAGTCATAGAACAATGATGAGCATGGAATATTGTTACATTAACTGGAAAGTTAATATTCGGGCAAGAGATATTTGCACACCCCACAACAGAATTGTGCCTGTATGCCTATCACGGATCTACACATGTGAGTTCGTTGTGCGAATGAATTAGGTGGTTTTGCAATCTTCTATTTTTATTTATAATCGCTCAATTTCTCATGATAGTACAAAAATAATCATAAATTATCTTTCGCGAGGAACGCTTTAAACTCAAAATTCTGTAACAACATTTTTGATGTTAAGGTTCTAGTCATATTTTACAGACAAAAACATGAGTTAGATGAGAAAAATTGAGTGGCTACTTACTGATATGACAATTGCTTCCAGAATAGCCTGTCATGCAAATACATTGATATGAATTCATCCTGTCCACACACACGCCATTATCACCGCACGGTGAATTGCTACAATCATCTATTTCTGTAAACAAGTAAAACAAGTCAACAGTGTACAAATAAGTAATGAACAATCCAAACTAACAGCGCCCTTTTCAGTATGCTTGTTGTAACATTTATCTGTCAAAAATATCGAACTATAGCTATAAGCCAAAGTGACACTGCCTTTTAGTAAAGCATAGTCTACTCATCCTACCTCATTTTCTCGCTATGATAACGTTCATAAAGATATATAGTTGGTTGGTTGCTTGCTTGCTTTTACCTGACTGCTAAGAAAGCGTGTGTGTGCTTGCAAGTAATCAACTAGGGGGCCGGCGGCGTAAATCCTCTCCGATGGACTTGGTAATGAGGATAAATGCATTACCAAAGGGCACTAGCCCATCGACCTGGGTTCCAGTCCATGAACTCCCGGATACGAGACCATTGTTGTACCACTGAGCCTTTATAATGATATTACATGTAGCAAGAAAACATACACTTCACGAAGATACACGGTGCTTGTGACAAAGTGATTTGATTCTCCACGAGGAGTTTCAAATACAATTTGAAATAATATGATTGTAATACCTCCCTTTCAATTTGTATACAGAGTTTGACGTATGCAAATGTATATCAACATATTAAAATAAGTATGGACTTAGAAACCCTAGGTTAGTGCGTTGGATTCTTACCTGTATCGCATGAAGACCCTGTATAACCATCGTCACATTCACACGTGTACTTGTTATGAGCGTCTACACACCGACCATAGATGCAGGGATTACTGGCACACTCCTTCGATCCTGAAATATAGATAGGGTACGTACGTCTTTATCATGCTCTATGATCATTTTACCAACACTCACATTTTTTTTTTGTGGGGAGGGGGGTGAAATTAAAGAATAAAGTGTTTATTTTTGGTGGTATATTTGCAATTATTGCTAAGTGCGCACGGATCACAAAACACAGAGGATAAATCTGTTAGAAATACAGTCAACCTGTCTATGGCGACCGCCCAAGGGAAACACAAAAAGTGGTCTTTGTAGGCAGGTTCCTTTAGTACATGTTTCAATGAGAAACCATTTTCAAGGGAAACAAAAAAATGTACTTGTTGTAGACAGGTGGTCACTAATTAAAAGCTAGTTTGACTGTATATATATACATCTGTATATATATATATAATATTTCATATGTCTGTGAGTGGATTTTTTTGTGTAAAGAAAAATACAAACTACTAAACGATTACATGAATGCAGTGTAAAAGAACCAACAAAAATAATAGGGATGAGTCGTTTTTTGAAATGTTTGCTATAGGACGACACTAAGAAGTAGCTTTGATATAATGGCTGCACTACATGCTTATTCTCTCATTTCTTTTAGCAATAAATGAATGTGATTGAAGACCTTACTTGTTTGACAGTTTGTTTCTACAAATCCCTCTCGACATATACACGAGTGAGCAGCTACATGATCGATACATGTCCCTCCATTCTCACAAGGGTTACTCGAACAGTCGTCAATATCTGTACAAAGGATAAAATAACCCGAAATAGTTACTCATTTTGTAATAAAATCTGGATGAATGTCTTTCAAATCCCACAGGGGCTAATCTTGAGACCCTCCCATTACATCGAGTTTGCAGGATCATTTTCAAGCATTTTTCGTCCACCCTTATCTCTTGTATGCATGGTTTTAACTTGATACGTAATTATCAGAGAAGAAAGGCCATTGTTTCTGTGTTTGAATTGATACGTCTTCTTCTGATGCTATTTGAGAGCTCACACTCTACCGACATTACCGTGATTACAGGCCTGGGGGGTGCTTCACAAAGATCCTAAGAAGAACTTAACACTAAGTTGGACTTAAAAATTATGGACAGCCATTGGAGCCTTAAAATAAAGTATATTCAAAAGCAGAAATTCAAGTATTTTAGACTTTTTATAAATTCCACATCCAGAACATGAACTCTCCTTGATGATAGAAAATATGAATTATTTGAATCAACATTGTATGCCCTTCAAAATAATTTTTACAAAATATTTTCAAGGATGCTAATGGCTTTCCATAATTTTGAAGTCCAACTTAGAGATAAGTTCAACTTAGGATCTTTGTGAAACACCCCCCTGGTTTACAAAAAGAAAATCATCAACCAAGGTACACATGATAACGAAACAAATACGAGAAGAATCTATTCAACTCCAAACGATTTATCAAGGAGTTACTCGAGAGTCATTATTGTAGAGAAGAGTTCATGAATGAAAAGAAAAATAAAGAAGCTAAAGTATAGACTGATGCATAATTAATGTTATTACTTTGTCACGACCTGGAAAGTCATTAATAATCGTTTTAACATTCCAGTACGAGGAAAATAAAGTTCCAAGACGTACTTGTTTCACAGACATCTCCAGTGTATCCTGTGTCACAGATGCATTTATATGAATTCGCCTGATCCACACAGAAGCCATTGTTGGTACATGGATGGAACGACCGACACAAACCGAGGTCTGAAAGAAAATACAACATAAAATTGAGTCACGTTGTGTAGGACGCGGTATAACCGCCGCGGCTTTTTTAAAAATGAGAATGAAAAGTGTAATATGATTCATATTTCTGTGTCGTAATTATAACACAGATCTAAGTGCATACTTAGATTCTGACACAAAATTCTGGATTTAGCTCATGCTGCAATGATAATTATAAACATTTAGGTCAGTCAGGAACCCCATGACTCTTACAAGTCGATCGCCTGTCTGATTATCAAGATATTTATGATTGGAATTACAAATTTTGAAAACCGTTTGCCAAACGGTTTTCATAACACTACAGTCTATTGGGGAAAACGAGTATGGTAAAACCGGTCACTCAAAGAATTTTATTTTTGAGGCACATCTTGATCATTTTGAAGCGCAATTTTTTTAGGGCTTCAATATTACACCATTGCACAGACACTGATAACATGTAGGGCCGTGTATCTCAGATTTAACATTGTTAAACGATCCCTTTAAGTAAGTGTAGTACAAAATATTGATCGTGTTTAACAAGACGAAATATCTACGACCATCCAATAAAAGATGCACTTCTATGATTTCATTATAAAACAAGCTGTACCCAAGCTCTTACAGCTCTTACTCTTAGCTTGCAATAAAGGCAACACTTCCCGATCAGGTCTGCTTTCGAGGCCGCCCCTCTTGGCGCCTAATTTGCGACTTCAATGACAATATTTGAATGTGTGACGGTTGTACCTAGGCATTATGTTTCACACCTACTCTTTCTGTAATGAATCAAATATTTACCAACAAATTATTGTTTCTCTTGATTTCTTGCTGGTATTATGTGACCCCTCCCAGGCTCCCACACAAGAAGCCATATTAAAAACAGAAACGACAGAGAAAAATGATACATAAAAAAGGCTGCTTACAGGAGGATTGTCGTTCTCTTGTTTTCCATTATCCTTTACCATATCAAGAAGCAAGTCATGTCTGAAACTCAATTATACAAGTCCGCCATGGCTTCCCGAAGCCTTCAACTTAAAGGCCGGCTGTACTAGTTCATCCAGAAGGGATTAGACCAGCCAGCTAAGTCACTGACAGGTGGCTGTCTCATTTACTCAACTCTCAATTAGCATACAAAAAAAACAAGATCATGGAGGACCTCGCATCGACTGGGGAAGTTTTCTATATAGAGGGAGCAAGTAGCTACAAGTAGTACAGTGTGGCTTTAAGATTAACTTTTATAGCATTGCTTATTGCTGACGGTACCCTGTAGATACATTACCTGTAGCACAGCGTTCGCCGGTGAAACGAGAAACACAGGAACAAGTAAACATATTCACAGCATCAGTGCATGATCCTCCATTAAGGCATGGATTACTGCTGCATTCATCGATTTCTTGAAATATAAATAACAGAAATGGTTTGATTAATTGTTATATGAATATTATAACCTAAAGTTGGTCCGCTTTGGAGAATACCAACCCTAAAGTTTAATATTTTGTAAATGAGTTACCATGATGAAAAATTAAATGGAACTAAAATACACATACAAACGAACAGGTTTATTAAGTCTAACACATACTCCCCAGGGAGCGAAGCGTGTACACTTTCCTGTGCGGACTAGCAATTTAATCCAATGAGCGGGGTAACAATAATTACTTGGTAAAGTGCTCTATATAGCGCTGTAAAAATATGACTATTGTTACTACTTGTGTAAATTATATGAGATAAAAAAAAGTAGCGTGAGGTGTTTTTTTTTTTTTCTTACCATGTTGGCAATAGGAACCGGTGAATCCGGCAATACAGCTACAAGTAAAGAAATTGATACCATCATTACAAGTTCCTCCATTGTAACAGGGTTGACTCAGGCACTCTTCATAATCTGCAAGTCAAATACAAAATATAAACGGAATAACGATAGACGTTAATTAAGAACAGGAAATAATTGCTGCAATCGTTGTTTATATAATTAAAAGAATGAAGAATCCATGAAGAGGGTATGTATAATTTCCCCTCTTTCAAAATAAATCTTAGAAAGTACAGTAATGTGTTTTAACTCATTTCGTATTATGTTTTCACTAAACTTGGGTAAGCGCGATGGCATCATAAAAATCAATCAAGCTGCTAAGAACCCTGTCCATGGTGACTGAGGATAAGCGTGAGGAGCCTCATTTTGAATTCTATGGAAATCGTGATATTTGTGTGTTTGGATACGATTGAAACTAACCACAAATACGGCTATACTTACTGAATTCACAGTTGGCTCCACTATAACCAGGGAAACAATGACAGGTGAAGCTGGCGATTTTGTCTTCACAAATAGCGTGCTCGCTTTGGCAGGGATTGCTCAAACACTCATTCAATTCTGTAAAAATTGAAAATGAAAGGAATCATTACTAATAAATAGTATCAACTTCAAACTTATTCCATACTCTTAACCAATATCTAGCCAATGACAGTGTTGTTGTTGCTTAAAGGAGTCATAAATATAATGATGGGACTAAATATTTAATGCATGTAGTAACTTAAATGAAATTATATTAGGCCATTATGAGAAATCATAATCGTACGTGATGTGTACAATTATTGATTCATTTGATTGTATATGTTTTTCGCAAAATGATTACAAAATTCCTATTTAGCACAATCACCTTTATCGGTTTATCCACAAAAAACCGGGCCAAAACATGTGTTATATAGTAAATGCATTTCGTTTGTATACTTCTTTGATTCTGTTAAATGGCATGTCACATTCTGAAAGCGGATTTAATTTTTTTTTTTTATTAGCATTAGCACGACTGAGACGGTACGAGGTGGACTTAAGTAGACTCCGTGTCTCAAGGTTGTTTAATCCTTTTGAAACATGGACTGTATTACGTAGTAACATTGATTTGTAAGATTTTTCCGTATTCAGTCTATTCCGGTACTATACATGTATGACGTTGAATATCATAAGATTAACTATTCGCTACCTATAAATATATATTTACCGTTTAAACATCTCTCTCCTGTGTAGCCTGGAGGACAATTACAGCTCCACTGATTCACAATGTCATTTATGCATATTCCTCCAAATAGGCATGGACTACTAGCACACTCGTCGATATCTAATGCAAAGAAACACATCGGCTACTAGTACATGTATTGATGTCTAGTGTAAACAAAAAAATACGAGGGCTAAAATGGTACCCTCACTGAAATCAATGTTTAGCAGTTAGGTCCTGAAAATTTTATTGTAAAGATGGACGAGTGTTACAAGAAAAAAGGTCACTGTTTATTTTTGGAAATGAGCGCTAAAATAGCTACTTCTTAAGTAGTTGGTCTTTTTTGTTATTCAAGTGAACACATGTTGTGAGGAAAGGGTAAAATAGAAGTAAAAGAAGACGCTTCCACGACAGTGAAACTCTTCAGAAAAGAAAAGAGGGTACCGATTTAAAGTGAAAAGTGGGGGTACTGGCCTTTCACCCACCAGATCGCCTTCGCGAAATTGCTAACAATTGTTCTATAAAAATGATAAGAACTAACCAACTTCACAGTCTACTCCTGTATATCCGGGTGTGCAGACACATGTGTATTCCCGTATCCCGTCAACACAGTCTCCTTCCTTACAAGGGTTACTCAGACAATCATCTTCAGCTGAAAAGAGAGAATATAAAAGATAGGTTCAGGCTCATGGACATTAATTTAACTAACTTCCCTATATACGACGACCTTCTGGGTTGACCAGAAGGTTGACGGATGGGAAGACGAGTAGGGTGACACATATGTGCCACAGAGGCTGATAATAGAAATGACGAAAGGGTAGACACTAAGGGTGACGAGTAAGTTAATGAAAGACAATTAGGATTACAAATGAGAGACGTCTGGGTTGACAATTAGAATACGGATGACGAGTTGGTGAACGTATAGGTGACGAATAGGCTGACAATTGGGTGACGAGTAGGTAAACGAATGGATGACGAATAGGTTGACAAATAGGATGACGAGTAGGTAGACGAATGGATGACGAATAGGTTGACAAATAGGATGACGAGTAGGTAAACGAATGGATGACGAATAGGTTGACAAATAGGATGACGAGTAGGTAAACGAATGGATGACGAATAGGTTGACAAATAGGATGACGAGTAGGTAAACGAATGGATGACGAATAGGTTGACAAATAGGATGACGAGTAGGTAGACGAATGGATGACAAAAAGCTGGACAATTAGGGTGACGAGTAGATGAACGAATGGGTGACGAATAGGCTGACAATCAGGGTGACGAGTAGGTGGACGAATTGGTGGCAGATAGGGTGACGAGTAGGTGGACGAATGGGTGACGAATAGGCTGACAATTAGGGTGACGAGTAGGCTGACAATTAGGGTGACGAGTAGGTGAAAGGATGATTGACGAATAGGCTGACAATTAGAGTGACGAGTAGGTGGACGAATTGGTGACGGATAGGCTGACAATTAGGGTGACGAGTAGGTGAAAGAATGAGTGACGAATAGGCTGACAATTAGGGTGACGAGTAGGTGAAAGGATGATTGACAGATAGGCTGACAATTAGGGTGACGAGTAGGTGAATGAATGGGTGACGGATAGGCTGACAATTAGGGTGACGAGTAGATGAATGGTTGGGAGACGAATGGTTTAATAATAAGAATGACGAGTACATGTACGTGAAGTAATTGGTGATGATTAGGCTGACAATTAGGGTGACGAGTAGGTGAAAGAATAGGCGACGAGCGATTTGACAATAGGGTCGGAGAGTAAGTGAACAAATTGGTGGCGAATGGGTTGATGAATGATTGACGAGAAGGTTGTCTAATGTGTCACCTACAATTTAACTCACTAACGTTGGGTTACAAGAGGCGCTCTGAATTTGCTGCAATTATAATTATTATAGAGCCGAGTTCTAAACTAAGTACTGACACATACAAAATGTGTAAGAAAGTGAATTACTCATCAGATATTCAGAGTATTATTGTAGTATATGAAAATAAAATAAACTTAGTCTTAATAAATTTGACGTCCTGAAACTTTACAATGTACAATACAAACTGATATTGAGTTAAAGAAATGTAAATTCCTGCTGTTATCTGATATGTAGTATATACATTTACACCATTGAAATCTTTAAAAATATAGTATATGGAAAATTAAGATTCATGAAAACAGTGGCCAATCAGAAAATTGGAATAAATACCTGCTTTCAGAGATCCTGAATTAGCTTAGTTTGTTCTACCGACCAGTGTTGTTAACTTTCATTGAATAATTGTTCATGAAACTATAATGCAATCATTGTATTCACTGGTGAGACTGGTTTGAATATTTTACAGTGGTAAAATCATGATTTCTCCACGACGAGCACAAGCAATAGACAGAAATGCATATTAACTGATCCTGATCCTGGTTGCTTACTGACAAGCATTTATTGCTTTCTTAGCTGTCAGGTATAATAACCACCACTATCACTATCACTACGATATACGTACATGTTTCACAGTCCTTTCCCATAAATCCATCGACGCACACGCATTCGTAGTCGTAGACATCGTCGATACACGTTCCACTGTTTTTACATGGAGACACCTCGCACTGATTGACCTCTGGAAAGAGAATGAGCCGAAATGAAGAAATGATGATTAGTCAAATATATTTTGGGAAATGTGTAACATTTGAAAAAACACTGTTTTAATCCTTCTTAAACTATGCCGATGCTGTGATGCTCCTGGAGGTAAACAAGAGACATTGTGACTATTTAGAACGATATGGTACGAATCAGTCAATAAGGATTATTCGGATTGTTGTGTAGCAGTCATGTTATGTTCAGTTCCTCTTTACAGAGCTAGCTATGAGTAATTCTTACTGGAACAAAAATTGTGAGACGTTCATAGTTACTATTTCGGTTTTTCAGAAGATTATTATCCAGTTCTCTGACAATGCTAAAGGGGGCAGGGAATGGAAATGCTCATTCGCATTTACTAAGCAAAAGAAAAAGAAGGCTGTTGGGGAAAATAAAGCTTTAAACAAAATTGTTAGATATTATTTGATAAGGCTGTCGGGAGTTTTTAATTCTGAGCAATTTTTGAATTACTTGTGGACAGATTTGAAAATCTAAAACATTTTTTGCTGCTCGGAAAATATTATCTTCAAATTCGGTTCAACATTACTCCGTTCGAAATGGCCTAGAAAAGTCAATACAAGAACTTTTGTTGATGATGTTGTGTTGGAATCATACTCTGGAACATGTGTCATGACATATTTCATTAGTGGTGATAATTTATTACGCTCATGAACGTCAATCAATGATCCTGTACAAACCTTCGTTGCAGTTCACCCCAATATGGCTAGAAGGGCAACGACACATGAAAGCATTGATCAGGTTGTCACATGTCCCAGTAGTACATGGGGAAGAAGCGCATTCGTCCTGCTCTGGAATAATGATAGTAAAAAGAGAAGAAATAAGAATACATTTCCAGACGACTACTGCACCTGTCAACCTGAGATCCTGAGGCAAAGAGAATTTTTAAATCTGAAAACAATAAACATGTGTAGAAATTTGGTAGAAAGTTGAAACATGGCCGATCTCGATCGGAAGCAATGAGTTTGAGCCTCTAAATGTGTTGCTAATATAACCATTTTTAAAAAGCCTTATTTCCTTGTTAAAATTTCTGACGTCGAACACAATATGGTCATGCAACAAAAGTGGACACAGTATGTGCAGGAATTTTCCCTCTTTCTTTTCATGCATCTGGTATTTTTTTTAGTGCTCTGAAGTTACTAAGCCAAACCACAAAATGTGAAATGCTTGTCCCAAAAATGTTTTAACCTTTTTCCTCCGCATAATTACCTACTGAACATGTTGCTCCAGTATAGCCTGGAAAACACTGACACTCCATCGTACCATTGTTGTCCTTACATACACCATTCAAACACGGTTCGGTTCCATCTGCTCCACATACACCAGCGATGCGAGCTGTACAAAAAACAAGGTCAATTCAAATACTCCTCTTTAATATAAACTATTTATTGACCATTCTTGATGGTATTGCCTCCTATAAACACTTATAATTTCGGTTTAATGACTGTGATTCAATAAGTCATTCTAAATTTATATTGCTGTTTTGTTTATTGAAACTAAGTTCAGAGCTATCTTGATCGATAATAATAATTGGGTCTTCTTTGATAATAATGATGATATATTATATATTCAAGGCGCCGAATCCAGTTAAAATCAAATGACCAAGGCGCACACGGTAAAACATACCATTTATCTTACTAAGGGTCCTGCAGTTATTTTTTACTGCACCATGTGCCAGGTACCCATTTACACCTGGGTGAAGAGTGGCAAATGTGGTATAAAGAAAGAACAGGGAGTTGAATATACTGGGAAGTAGGTGAAATGTATAACAATAAAACAGAACAAAACAGCAGCATACAATGTATTTAAATGTATGACGGTAAACGAAGCGTTCGACTTTTACTTGCGACCTTCTTCTCTTCTGATTTCATATAATGAATTGGCCCATAAGCCTCACCTTGATTGATCACGAGTCCAGTTGGAGCTTGAAAAGAGCCAACAAATTCAAATACCCCTTCCGACCGATCGAGTACGATAATATTTTTGTAGTTAGTATCAGTGACATAGATATCATCGTCAGATCCCCGGACTGCTATACTAAACGGACTAATATTAACACTCGCTGATGTATAGACGTGTTGTATACGATCACTCCCGTCTAATAGCACCGATTCTATGAAATCGAGGTACGCTTCACACCAGTACAAACGTTCCTCTGCGAAAAAAATTGAACCATGTTTGAGGAATACGTATTTTCTTTCTTCTTAAAAACGAATAGTGCAATATGCACAACCGAATATTTGATTGATTTTAAATCAAATTCATTAAAGAAAGTGGCTATAAAATGAAAGTAATAACAGTAATAACAATGACGACGACGATGATGAAAATAATGATAATAATATTGATCATAATGACAACAACAATAAGTAAATAATTATAACAACAATAATAACAATAATAATTATAACACTAATAGTAATTATGACAACAAAAACAGTATTAATCATTATATATCTCTCTCTTTAGAAATCTAGCCATCTGATTCGTCAAAATTGCAGTCGTGATTTTAGTTGACCGCCTACCAGTCAATATTCTTTTGAAAAGTGCCCTCATTCCCGCCTACCGGTCAATAGTCTTTTTAAAGAGGCCCGTTGCCCCAGGTAATAGGCCGTATAAATAAATTGTGCTCAGATCGCAAACTACATAATTGATACAAGTATAATCTACTGAAATAATTGAATTTGACCGGCTGATTAGAATTATTATGGCAGTTGCATTTCACAGCGTTTCAAAGCAACTGTTATGAAACAAGGATCTCAAGTGGATTAACATGAATTCTAACGTGAAACAGATTGAGGAGTTCACCAAAATGATAGTTCAAAGTTCAATAGATGTACCTGAGCTATCAATAGTGACTCCGTTGGGCCATGTTAGGCTTGCATTGACAATAACTGACCGGTTCGTCCCGTCAATATTGGCTCTCTCAATTTTAGGTGCTTCCCCCCAGTCGCTCCAGAATACGAGTCTAAAAGTGAATGATATAGACCCATTACACTTGCCCATTAATCTGCAAGATTCCCCATCAAAATATATGAGAAAGACATATGAGCAAGAATAATGTACACTTTCTCAGCACGACATGGGCATCGCCATTTTCTTGAAAACATGACGTACTATGCGAAGTCGTTTATCAAGTAAATGTATTCAAATTTATTGATTCTTCCTTCCCCAGATGTGTGTAGTGATGAAGCATTTCATTCACCTGCTATTACCCTTTGTACTGCAATTGCCAGAACGTAAATTGCATAGATAATTTGGTTCTCTTCTGGGATGAAGGTTTCACATAAATGAAATAGATTTGTCAACTGCTATTTTTTTCGCTTTTTTAAATATCAAAATGAGTTACAATTATTCCCCTGTTATATATTTTCAACCAAATATAATTTTACCTTAATTCTCAGTTATGATTTTTCCTCATTGAAAAGTAAAGGTTTTGTTATTAAAATAAATAATATTTCCAATCAAAGCTTGGTGCATGATACATGTACAACTTCAGATGGTATGTCATATTTTCAAGAAAATGGCAGCGCCCATGTCATACTTAAAGGCATTACGTCATGCCAAAAATGTCTTCATTTATATATATCTTGTACACTTTCGTAAGGAATATTATACATCAAAGGGCAAGAATACATCTCGGTTTTTTCACTATTACTTTAGGGTGAGGTTTCCTTTCAGGCCTTTAAGATTTGAATTTGACGTTGTAATCTTGAACTGCTTTTACTAAATATTAACTGCAAACCAAATGAAACAAAAACGACAGCATTTTATTCTCTGCTTTCTTCTTCTCCAGAATTATTAAAAATGATTGAGGCAATCATTTAATTAATGTGACGGTATCGTGTTAACCTACCCATGTGTAACCGAAACTGCTATTCCACGTGGTTTATCGTGCTCGGTATCTGCAATTACCGTACGGTTTGAACCGTCTAAATTGGCGGATTCCACAAGATCCAAACCGGAATCGGTCCAGTACAGGCGATCATTTTCAATATCAATAGCTAATCCTTGTGGGGCTACATTGAAAATATAAATACATTATAAGAATTTGTTATTGTTCAAGATACCTTCATCAGGGATAGAAAAAATATATATTTCGCGTTTGTTGTTAAAACACTTGATGTATTATAGAAAAACGTTGTAAACTTTAATGAGAGTACGATACTCTGAATATATACAGTAATAAGAACCTAAAATCGATCGGAACACATTACAATCGTGTGTTACTCCAAAGAGGGTTCGTTTTATTTGAAAGGTAAACTGACATAAGATTTACAGACACTCTGAAACATATCTGGACCCAATTTTGATCAGGGCATGAACACCAAGTGATTTGCTCTACATTGAAGCTGAGTACAATCAAGAAGTTCTACTTACATCCAAGATCAGAAAGGATCTTCTCATTACCAGACCCGTCGATATTAGATCGGTAGATGGCATCCAGAGCAACATCAGTCCAGTATATGGTACGAGATCGTAAGTCATATTGGATAGCGATGGGAGTCTCAACGTTATCGAGAGGGAGTAGTGTGAAGTTAGCGTCTTCGAAGCTGCTATCGCCATCTACATACGCCATGTAGATACCACGGGCCAGGTAGTCACATACAAACATCTCATCTTGGTATGAGACAGGAAAAATTAAACAAAAATTATAATAGTGCTATTTTTTTCAATAAGAGATAATGATGTGTATTTCCTTGTTTTTTATTGTTATTCAGATACGTTAATGGGCATGATTTTGATTTAAGCATTGATTTTGTATTTTTTTTATTTTTGAATAAGTTTGAACATGTTAAAAAGTGTGAAGCAGTAGCGATAGCAGGTCTGTTGTAATAGAACACTTGTATTACACATCATCATCATCATCATCATCATCATTATCATCATCATCCTCATCATCACCATCATCACCATCATCATCATCATCATCATCCTCATCATCACCATCATCACCATCATCATCATCATCATCACCATCATCACCATCATCATCATCATCATTATCAGTAGTATTACCATTGTTATTATTATTATTATTGTTGTTGTTTTTGTTGTCACTATTACTATTATTAGTACAAGTGTTTTTTTTTTGTAGTAGTAGTAGTGGAAGTATTAATAGTAATGGTAATATTAATAATAATAGTTTTAGTTGAGGTGGGAGGGACAATAAATAAGTACGAGTAGTCCGATAAAATGATAACAGTTCACTTAAATAGGGAGGGGCACTGTCATAAAAGCATACGTATGCAAAAACTAATAGTTTAAACAAAATACGGGAGTGGAGAGGAATCCAATGTAGTAGTAATAGTAATGGTAATAGTCTACGTCATAATATTAGTAATAGTAATAGTAATAAACTTTTTACCTGCTTGGATGAGATGCAATCCTCCAGCTGTGAGTAGGATGAGTATAGTGAGACTCATTTTAGTCCAGGGTGACGTCATCTTCTATTATTTATATGATAAAGGTGGATAAACAAATACATGACATGATTATCTTAGTCACTTTATTTTGATGTATTTTAATGTATATCCATAAAGTTTCTGCGCTATATTGATTGACCTTATATTATCATTATTATTATTATTATAATTAATATTATTATTATTATTAATATGTATTATACTCTCATTCCCAGCAAATAGGGTCCTATTGAATCATCACTGGCTTGGATATTGTCATATCTGCCCCTCCCCCCTTAAATCCAAGATCCGGATATGCTACTGCCTAGTATTTACATTAGGGTCTTAAATGAACAAAGCAATCGTAGGATTAATTTCTCCATATTTCTGAATGTACTGCGCAACCAAAATGTTTCGTGTGCCGTTGCCAAGGAAGAAGGGAGTGATGGAAGAGAAAGAGAGAGAAAAGGAGAGAGAGAGAGCGAGAGAGAGAGAGAGAGAGGGGGGAGAGAGAGGGAAAGAGAGAGGAAGAGAGAGAGGGATAGAGAGAAAGAGAAATGAGGGGGCGAGTGAGAGAGGATATAGGAGAGAGAGAGGAGAAGACAGAGAGAAAGACAGAGAGAGAAAGAGAGAGAGAGAGAGAGAGCGAGAGAGAGAGAGAGAGGGGGAGAGAAGGGAGAGAGGGGAGAGGCTGATGATAAGAGAGGAAGGATTACAAAATCATACAATTCTCATTATTTTCCATTGCTACGATGCAAAATAACTCGATACGTGCTTGTTCCAAGCCTTTTGCACAATAACAAAATTGTCATAATGTGAAAATATCGTTCATTTAACGCTCTGTGAAGATGAACAAGAATGGGTGCTCACAACGCGAATAAATGTGATTATGGAAGAACAAATTATGCAAATAAGGAAATAGATTGTTACCAAGTTATAGTTCCTTTATAATGCTGCCACTGCTAGGAGTGTTTGGAAAAAGACTCGATCTGTTTGAGAACTCTCTTTGAGAACTATTCACCCTTGGAATCGAACGTCTCTGGTTCATCGATTTCACAGTATATGATTTCCATTGTTATATATGGTTTACATTGTTAACTTTGTGGCATACCAGGGTAGCATGCTGCATGCGAGGTTATTTAACCGTCTGTTTGCATATAAATTACACAATGCTTATGAGATTTAAGTCAATTTAAAACCGTGGCATATCAGTAATAAATTGATAATCATTGTGGTCGATTTCTCTTTCAGTCTTTCTAAAAAAAAACATTTTTCTATGTGCATACTCTTCAAGGCTAGTCCAATGCATTACAAAGCCTCCGGATCATTAGGCAAGGGGGTGGTTTCACAAAGATCCTAAGTCGAACTTAACTCTAAAGCTATGGTCACAAATCAGAGCAGCGACCGACCGATCAGTAGCCTGCTCGGTCGCTGCTGGAATTAGGCATCGCCCAGCGATTAGGTCGGTGCCCGGGCGGCGACCGCCCAGGCACCGAGCGTATTTTGGGCGGCGAGTGAAAAGTGAGCAGGCGCCGCCCAAATTTTAACTCCGCGCTAAAACTTCATCGGCTACCGAGCGATGCTCTAAAAACGAGCGGTGCCTGGGCGGCCACCGCTCGGTGGCCGGGCAGCCGCCGGGCAGAATTGGTTAAAAACTCGCCGCTCGGCCGCCGAGCAGGCAACTTTTGGGTAATCTGACCATAGCATTACTTGGACTAAAAAATCTCTGTTTGTAATATATTTGACTGGCTTCCTCACATGTTCAACAACAGTCGTGTATCGAACATGAATATTTTGACGATGCTACTTCCACTATGAACATGACGGACAAAGAAAGAGGACAAAATATACAGTTCCTCATTCTACCCTCAACAATTGCTGTGGTAGACAAAGGAACATCCCTACACTGCCCTTGTTTAAAAATATGTAGAACAGGTGAATATGCATATGACACCTGTTATACACATTTTTACATAATAGCAGTGAAGGGATGTTCCTTTGTCTACCTGAGGAACTGTTGAGGGTAGAATGAGGAACTGTATATTTTGTCCTCTTTCTTTGTCCGTCATGTTCATAGTGAATTCATTACTTTGTTAAAAACTAGACAGGCCCGACAACGTACAATATGAACATATTCATATTCGTGCCTATAAACCGTATTTGGACATTAACCATTAGTTGAATCCCTGTCTAATTGTTTACATCTACACACTAGTTATTTTATAAGGTCTCTCATGCCAAATAAATTTAGCGCATGGTATAGAAGAACATGATAATAATAATTAGATCAATAAACAAACTCTATTGGATTGCTGCTTTCACAGACAAACAATTTAAACAAATTATATTCAAAAGCTTCTGAAAGCAAGTTCGTCTTAATAATTAGATAACATGTTCCTTTTTGTATATTTCAGCATATACATAGAAATAGCCGCATACCAATCGTTCCTCCATTTATCCTTCTCTATCTCTCCCTCTCTCTCTCTCTCTCTCTGTCTTCTGAAGCGCGTCAGCTTTTGTCATTGAATCCTGTTGTTTTTGCCCGTTTATATTATCATATTTTGCTATTGCTGTAAGCATAAGTTAAAAAGCTGCATGCACTTCAAGCGTGCGCTTACGCTGCAGCTATTCTGCATTTTGCTATATACGTCAATCGTTCCCAAATTTTCTGGCATAAATTCATTGTAATTTAAAAAAAATATTACCACTATATACATATTGTTACTGCTTATTACTGTATATCAAATGCCAGAAATCAATATATCAAATCAAATCGAATAACAACTTTGAAGACAGCAAAAGGTGATGCTTTACTTATGTCTATAGTGGTAGGTTATTCCAACTGAAAAGCAATCTCCAAGAGTTACTTTTATTCATGAGTGAGGTATATTTAGAAGCAGCTTATCCTTTGTACTTCGTAAGATATGTGAATATGGATGTGAATTAAAAGATAATAACATCTTTGAATTAAGCTGATAATGGAGCGTTCAGGCCACTGACTTTGAACAGAATCAATGTTTACTCCCTTTCCGAAGTATACCTATTCCATTGTGTACCGTGCAAGTCTGTGATATTCTCTTATAATTTTCATTCCTTTTCACTCAAAAGAGGAATCGTTCCATCACGTCACACTTGACAGGGACATTTTGGAGTTTGAATGCTAGCTATTGATTACAAAATAGATAGAGAGAATAGTGAAGTCTAGCATTTAGGGATGGTCGAGACGTAAAGGAAAGATAAAATTTGTTATCAACATGATATTATTAGTCTTCTGACTACAATCACATATCATATTTTAGTTCAGTTAGGTTCAGTTCAGTTCAGTTCATTTATTTCATTAACAAATTGATGAAAGTATGGACATCAAACCATACATGTACCCCACCCCCCCCCCCCCCCCCAACAAAAAAATAAAATAAAAAAATAGCAAATATTAAATAAACATCATCAACGACTTATTATATGAAGTGTTTGGGATTTGTGAGAAGACAAAATTCTTATTAAAAGCCAATTACCCTATACATAAGAAAATAACAATTTACTCTAATTTTTTATGTTTATATTGATGGAACCCGAATGAATTGAATTGAATTGGACTGAATGGAAAGAAAGAGAGAGAGAGAGAAAGATCTATAGAAAGAAAGGGAAAGAGAGAGAGAGAGAGAAAAAGAAAAAAAAGAGAGAGAGAAAGAGACATACGGAGACAGAGAGACGAAGACAGAGAGAGAGAGAGAGGGAGGGAGAGAGAGAGAGAGAGAAAGATCTATAGAAAGAAAGGGAAAGAGAGAGAGAGAGAAAGAAAAAGAGAATGAGAAAAAAGAAAGAGAGAGAGAGAAAGAGACATACGGAGACAGAGAGACGAAGACAGAGAGAGAGAGAGAGGGTGGGAGAGAGAGAGAGAGAGAGAGAGAAAGATCTATAGAAAGAAAGGGAAAGAGAGAGAGAGAGAAAGAAAAAAGAATGAGAAAAAAGAAAGAGAGAGAGAGAGAAAGAGACATACGGAGACAGAGAGACGAAGACAGAGAGAGAGGGGGAGGGAGAGAGAGAGAGAGAGAGAGAAAGAGCATAATCTGCTGCTTCGGGGATATAATCATGTTATTATTCTGTTTACTGTGTTTTTTCATTCATTTTACTTCGTGCAAGTCCGTGATATTCCCTCTTTCTCACACAATGAACGCTCTTTATTCTCGCACACGATGGTTTATGGTTAATATTAACATTAGTAAACAACAAAGAAAAACACCTAGAGTGAGGGCCAACGATAAGTAATTGCATTCTTTCACGTCATATCCTGGACCTACTTGTCATGGAATAATATAGGGCTCTCCGGAAAAACAAATATTTTTGAACAGAAAGATACTTTCGGGGAATTTTCGTAAATTGGATAATGTGTGTAAAAAGCCTATACGCTTGAGAATGCTATAGGTTTGTATGGATAATGGCAGTTTACTTATTGTAATGTGAAAATAAAACTTCTGTATAAATAAATGTATTTGGAATGTCAAATTGACAAGCAAATCGAATAAACGTGCGGCTCCTAGTCGTCTGGCAAGCGATACCGAATAATATTTGACAGTGCTGAGGTGTGTTTATTGTGTTTAGTATTTACGTAAGGAGTCTGGTATAAGGATTGAAGAGGTGAATGGATTAGGATGAAGTTGAAGAAGATCATTGTTGCAAAGACAAAATGAATACACATATTTTAACATAGTACATATAGTACATGTATTTGTCACAACTAGGCGTTGTGGCGTGCACCTGCAATCCAGCTAACCGTGGAAGTTACAAACTGATTCAGCCGAGGACGCAGGTTCGAAACTGAGTCACTTCTTTCGGATGGTGACGTTTAAAGGTCGGTCCCCAGATGTAAATAATCATTTTTGATTGATACACGTCTGTAAAAACCCAATACATACACACCCCTACTCGACTCCTCGCTCTCTCTCTCTCTCTCTCTCTCTCTCTCTTTCTTTCTCTCTCTCTCTCTCTCTCTCTCTCTCTCTCTCTCTCTCTCTATCATACTGTAGCTAAATAAGCTATCAAAATCAGTAATACTCTTGATACGCACTGCATTTATTCATGCAGTGACATCTGTATAAAGGAATAATACACCAATCGTCAAAACTGTTTGCAATTTATACATTCATCAACATACACCATCATGATAGGGCTGCATACAGATTATTCTTTCAAGTTCTCCTTTGCAAATTACTATAAATCAATGAGTGAATACATTATAACTCACATACAAGTGCTCCAGGTTTCACGAAGTATATCTGTTCATGCACGTCCCTGGTATAGTTCAGGTCTAGTATACGCCCAACACTCAACAAGGAAATATGGCCTAGTTATGATCATCGAACTTGAAGTACAGTCTGCATTCTGTTTACTACCCCACAGAAAATGGAACCAATGAAAAATAATATATGGAGACATCATACACCGCTGAGCTTTAACAAAAGATTCCCAATTGCATATTTATATTAGACAGAGCGCTGCAATTATTCATTGAAATCAGACGATCATAGTGTGTATATCAACTCATGTGTGCCATCATAATTTACAAAAAGTAGAATGCATTGATTGTGGTGTACATGCAGAATAGAACCCAGCATCATACTTCAGTTCAGTTCAGTTTGTTTTATTATTATCATTTCGCAGCCACAGCTGAATTACATGACAATTTACAATCAATTTAAAAATGACATCATATTACATTTATAAACAACATATTTCATAACACAATGCAAAGGTATATACAAAATAGATACTTTACATGTAATATAATTAATATTAGTTAATCTGAGAACATAAATATTTACAGTTTTCTTAGCCTAATATATGGGCGTGCTTTTTGATTGGCGGAGAAGGTTGAAGAATTGAGAATCTGCAGAGTGAAAGAGCTATATGGGAAGAGAGTGGTGTAGAGAGAGAGAGAGAGAAAGAGAGAAAGAGAGAGAGTAAGAGAAATAGAGAGGGAGAGAAATAGAGAGAGAGAGAGAGAGAGAGAGAAGGAAAAGAGAGAGAGAAGGAAGAGAGAGAAGGAGAGAGAGAGAGAGAGAGAGAAGGAAGAGAGAGAGATAGAGAGAGAGAGAGAGAGAGAGATAGAGAGAAAGAGAGAGAACACAACATTAAGAAATTCTTACTGAACAATATGTTGATAGAATTTTTGAAAAAATTACTTAAATTGACCCCTGTACAGCCAACCATGAAATATCGTCCCATGAATTTGATACCAAAAGAAGGGGAAAATACTCTACAAATATATCAAATATATCACTCTTAAACCAAAAAGCGAGCTTCAAGTTTATTCCGACTCATACTTTTTAACAAGGTTGGATAGTACCAACATGAGGCTAAATCCAGATTTCTTTCTGAAAAGATTTGTAATAATAATAATATTTAAATGTTATATAGCGCTTAATACAAAATGTCTCCAAGCGCTTTACAAATATACTATTTGTACTGCTCATAATGCTTGTAACTTTATATGGGGTTGTTGTAAACAACATTTACTTGATCGTACTTTCCTCCTACAAAAAGAACAGTTCGTATTCTTTGCCACAAGCCATTTTTCATTATTACACGATTTCAACTGTGTGTTTTTATGTATTCATATTATCATAAACTGTTACCAGATATTGTTTGTAATATATTTCAGAGCAATATCATAGATATAATACCACGACTTTAGCAGACACTCGTGTAATATATAATTTTTCATTTTCAAATAGTATATTTGAGTACCATTTTAAGGACCCACTACCTAGAACAGGCAACCCCCAAAACTTAAACAATGTGTATGTTTAAACAATTTAAAGCATAATCTATAACTTCAGTCTTCAACTGATACAGAAGCTTTGAGTTTGACTTCCACATTTTTTTATGTGTGTAATTACCATTGTATTATTGTATTTTCTTTGTCCTTTTTTGTGTGTGTACATTTTTAGGATCATCTACCTATACTTCTCAGTAAATTTTTTGATGATCCATCCACTTCGTAATTTCCTTTAGTGTATTTTCCATTGTATTGGCTCATCTATGTTTGCAAGAAATATTTTATTGTATTCTTTGCTTTTGTATGTTTTCATGAAAGTGGTAAATAAATACAATTCAATTCAATACAAATATTAGGCCTTATGTTACGATGTACTTTGATATGGTGTTTTATAAATAAATAATAAAAAGCAATATTTTAGGACACTCTCACAATGTACATAGCATTGGACTGGAGGGGAATCTTCAATCTGGGGTCCGTTTCATAAAACTTGGTATCTATAACAACTTCTAAATTTCTATTGACAAATTTGTTCTCAGCCAATCAGATGCCAGGATTCAGTAGCTTATAACGGTAGCTTGTAACTTGATAATGGTATTGAGTTTTATGGAACAGGGCCCAGATGGACACCTCTTATTCCTTCATTCTCTTTCCACGCCCCCCGGGCCACGCCCACATCACAGTCTTCTTAAATGCACAGTACATGGCAGCGCAGAATGAGAGAGAGGCTAGCCTGTTTGTCAAATAATTCAATATCTGTTTATTGATAACAAATCTAAACCACATTTCACACCACATAACAGGTCAAAGGTTATATCTAAATAGATCTCTATACTCAAACCACCATACTTCAATTTAGATTCAAGGGTACAGTACAGCACCGTCATATTTCTAATGGTTTGGTCATAATGAAACTATCTTTACTAGTACTCTGACTCTAAACATACACCATTTACAAGCTGCAAAGTCTAAACCTTAATTCACACCACCAAAGAGTTTAATTCCATGAGTTGTTTTTTTGTCAGCATAATAAATGCCGACCGCACGTAGAAATATACAAATTAAATTCTATCACAATATACACGTTAAAATATTCTGAAACATGACAGCATTTCTTACATGTTCAGTATACATGGCCCTCTAACATTATTTCAATCAAATCACTTTAAAGGTAAAGACCAGTATTGGAAACGCCCCAATATCAAAAAATGAAATGGAAGCTCTTTATTACCAATCATGTGAAAGAATATGTTTTGATGAATACATGATGATAACAATTTTGCCGGGAAACCGCCTACTAATTGACATATTTGGTAAATTAGTTTATCTACATGGTCTGTGAGAGATAAACGCACGTGTCGCGCACGTGTGTGTATAGTCCCATATACATCTTTCTGTGTACAGTGCTTGTAACTTTACCAAGACTGGGCCATATTTCTTATCATTTTGATGATTCCAGAACCTTGCAGTTTTTGTGATCGATTCCACAACGTTTCTTTCACAATGCAATCGCATGACCATATTCTGGTCTTTACCTTTAATCTTTCTTTGCCTCGTCTCCTGTCATTCAATTTAGGTAATTAATCAAAATATCACTAGAGATTTCATTTTTTAGTAATACTTGAATTTTGGACATGATTATCAACTAAGAAATATTTGAATGATATCCTGCACATAAATGAGCTTCATGGTGGATCTTGCAGGTTACAAATCAATCAGTCTATAAAATCTACTATGATCTGAAATTATTTTCTATAAAAATGGGAGTTTTTGCAATAGTCTTTAACACAAAATTCACGTTTTTAAAAGTTTATATTCAATAGAGTTTTCTATTGCCTGCTCTTTTGAGTATCCAATCTTTCCCGAACATGAAATTTATTTAAAATTTACTGTAAAGTTACGATTGATTAAAAGAGATACAACTACCAGTAATCAGAAACAGATTAATCTTGGGAAGACAGAATTGATTGTAACTTTTTATGTTACAGGCCACTTATCATTTCATTCAGTCAATAAGACAATAAAATATATCCGATAGAGACTTCAAATTATAGAATATCATTAACAATTATTAACAATTCTTTTGGAAGTAAATATGACATACCTCACAAATCAAGTAAAAACTAACAATTACATCATAAATTATCCTGAGATCTGCTTATTTCAATACAGGTCAGAAACTATATTTTCTCATACTCTGGGGCGACTGAATTTAGATTATTGTGATGATCCAACCAAACCAACTATACTGCAATTTTCTTGGCTATCAGATAATAGATTTTATAGTCCTCATCGTTTGTGTGTAATAAATCAATTAAATCAGTGATTTAATTGAATCTACAAATATCAATTATTTAAAAAAGAAAAGGAGAAGAAGTTATTTGACCATAATTTACAGTCATTTCATATTTAGTTAATATAGTGTACTTGCTCTAAAGGAGCAAACTTTATATGAGCTAAAATTGGTGGGCATCTCTGTATAAATTGCCCATCAAATACTGCTCAAGAAGCACATAGCATGGGTCAATAAACCTCACTGAAATCTCTCTCATATCAATATTGCATAATGAGGGACCATTTCTGTATCTATTTCTTGTAACTCTCTCTCATACCCTTGGAACCATATCTGGACACCTACCCCGGCATCCACCCCCCGGATAACCACCCCAGGTTAACTACCCCCTAGGACAACTACCCTTAGGATAGTTTACCTAGAGGATGGTTATCGTAGGGGGTAGTTGTCCTAGGGGGTAGTTGTCTGGGGGCTAGTTGCCCCGGGGGGTAGTTGTCCTAGGGGTAGTTGTCCTAGGGGGTAGTTGGCTGGGGGTGGTTATCCGGGGGGGGGGGGGGGGGGGGGGGGGGGGGGGGGGGGGGGGTGGATGTCCATTGGGTAGGTGTCCTAGAACCCCTTGGAACATGCAGAGAAGAAGAGCACTTGAAACGATTGCTTTTAATAGCAGATCTATGAGAGTTATTCCTGTTTGGATGCCTGCGCCCTAGATGCTTCAATATCCTCAAAGGTTGGAAGGCCACAAGGGAGAGCTAAGATGGATGGTTCTTCATTCAGAATACGCTCAGCTTCCTCTGTCAAAACAAACAAGACAATCTTATTAATATTATAATAATTATAGTGGAGCCTTATATAGCGCCTGGCACATTGCCACTCCAGGGCCATGTCTTTAGAAGCCCCCCCCCCCCCTCGACATTTTTTGCGATAATTTTTTAACGCAAGAAAATCTTGCACTGAAATTTCGTGACTTTTTTCTTTCAAGTCTTGCGCATCTTTTGAAAGAAATTTTTCGAAAATCGGACCTACCATTACAAAGTCACGTGTCCTTTCCTCTCTGCATGTCATCCTGAAAATCGCTCATTTTTGTGATTTGTGTACAAAACATATGGAAATCTCATTTTTCAAATAAAGATAAATATAAAACAACATAAACAATAAAATACATAAGTTAAAAAAACTATGAAATACATAAGAAATTATCAAAACAAGAGATAACATAAGGAATAACCTGGCTCTTTCAACTTGTTGTCTTGTATTATTATTCCAAAGGGTCTAACAAATATATGTAGTGAAAAAGAATGCTTAAATATGAATAATGTATGATTTATGTGCGAAAATGTAAATTTTATGACCTTATTTGCATAAATTACCATAAATATGCAAATAGTGAATTTTTCAAAAAAATTAAATTACCATAGTATTCTATACATTCACTTGACATGTATGCAAATTTTCGCGGCGATCGGCAGTGAAACGGCCGAGATCATAGGTGGGGGGGGGGGGGGGGGGGGCTTAGAAGCACCCCCCCCCCCCCCCCGGGCTATGCAGTTTCAAAATAGCCGGGGGCTATATAGGGTTAAGAGTTATGCACATAATTGCGATCGATATAAATCGCTAATTTATTGTGATTATTATTAACTCATTATAAGATGGGACCCTGAAGCTCCATTATTATTACCCCGCTTTAGCACAGCTGCCATTACAGTGCTCAAGCATTTTAAATTAATTCCTGCCAGGTACCCATTTATCTCACCTAGGTAGGGTGAGGCAAATGTCTTAGTCTGTGATCATATTGTCGAGTGATTCTGAATAATGTATTATAGAGGCCAGAATGATAAATTACTTTGTGGACCACTAGGATTCAAGCATATCATGGACCTATTAAGAGATGGA